TTATGTGGACGATGGATTGATATCCCTACCCACATCAACTGAAGCAATTGACTTGATGACGCATACTATGTCTGCCCTTAAGAATGAAGGAAATCTACGCTTACAAAAGATCGCTTCGAATAAAGAAGAGGTCATGAGTGCATTCGCAAATGATGACCTTGCAAAGGACCTTAAGGATCTGGACATTGGCAATGACCAACTTCCTGTACAGCGCAACCTAGGATTAAACTGGGACTTGATGTCAGAAACATTCACATTTAGAGTGACTGGCGCTGAGAAACCTTACATACGTCGAGGCATTCTGTCTGTTATCAACAGTCTATATGACCCTCTGGGCCTTGTCGCTCCTGTGACTATTCGGGGAAAGATGATATTACGGAAGATTGTAACAGATAGTTCTGATTGGGATAGTCCTCTGCCGGAACAGTACCGTTCTGAATGGGATTTGTGGAAAACGGAACTTCAGTGCCTCCAAGATATTAACATTCGCCGCACGTACATGAAACATGACGCCTCTCTCAGCAAAGCTGTAAGACGAGAAATTCATGTCTACTCTGATGCATCTGAGGATGCAATTGCAGCGGTGACATATCTGAAGACCATTTCCCAGGAAGGCGAGATACATGTTGGAATCATCCTAGGCAAGGCAAAGGTAGCACCTAAACATGGAAATTCGATTCCACGCCTTGAATTATGTGGAGCTCTCCTGGCTGTAGAAATCTACGACATTGCAGCGAATGCATTAGACATTGCAGTTGATTGTGTTCAGTTTCACATTGACAGTAAGGTGGTATTAGGCTACATAAATAACTGTGTCTGACGATTCTACATGTATGTGAGCAATCGTATTGAACGTATACTTAGAACTACAACGCCTGAACAATGGACATATGTACCCACTCACATGAACCCTGCAGATTGTGCTACCCGCTCGCTTCCTGCAAGTCAGATGCAAAACAGCCCCTGGTTGCAAGGGCCTGTTCAACTCTACAAGAAAGGTCAGAACGAGGTCAAGCTGGACAACAGTACATTTTCTCTTGTTGACCCAGAGAATGATAAGGAAATCAAACCAGCTCTGGCTGTTCATGTAATGAAGTCTTCTATCGAGGACCAGTGCATATTTGGAACCCATAGATTCAACAAGTTCTCATCATGGACTGCTCTTGTAAGAGCATTTGCCTTTCTACGGAACAGAGTGTGTGCCTTCAAAGAGAGGAATGTTGGCAATAGTTCACACTTATGTGTTGACTACAAGGCTGTTGAGACATTTCAGTTAGTTGAACGATGGATTATTGAGACAGTTCAAAGAGAAACATTTCCTGAGGAGTACTCATGTTTACTTGACAAAAGGACTCTACCTCCTAACAGCTCGTTACTTACCTTGGATCCGTTCCTCAATCAGCATGGTCTGATTTGTGTTGGTGGACGTCTCAGAGATTCCGACTTAGGTAAACACGAGAAGTTTCCAGTGATTCTTCCACGCAAGCACCACATTAGTACCTTGCTAGTACGACACTACCATGAACAAGTAAAACATCAGGCCGTTTCTTCACAGAAAGCATGATACGATCCGCTGGCTTCTGGATTGTAGGTGCCAAGCGCTTGATCTCTTCAGTGATTCATGCATGTGTAAAGTGCAAAAGACTCCGTGGGAGGCTAGAAACCCAGAAGATGGCTGATCTTCCGGTGGACCGTGTCAGTCCCGCTCCTCCTTTTAGCTACACAGGAGTTGATGTGTTTGGACCTTGGTCAGTGGTGACAAGACGCACCAGAGGCGGACAGGCTAGCAGTAAGAGATGGGGTGTGATATTTACGTGCCTAAGCATACGGGCCATTCATATAGAAGTAGTAGAGGAATTGTCTTCTTCCTCATTCATAAATGCACTGAGAAGATTCACAGCTATCAGAGGTCAAGTGAAGGAATTAAGATCCGACCCTGGAACAAATTTTGTTGGCTGCACTAAAGATCTTCAGATTGAGGCAATCATTGTTGAGGGTGCTAAAATGAAGAAGTTTTTGTTCGACAAGGGAACAGTTTGGCGCTTCAACCCACCTCATTCATCCCATATGGGAGGGGTTTGGGAGCACATGATCAAGACTACCAGAAACATACTAGATTCCATGTTGTCTGAAGTGAGTGACAAAAATTTGACGCATGAAGTGCTTACTACCTTTATGTGCGAAGTGTGCACCATAGTCAAGGCGCGACCAATCGTTGCGATCACCTCAGATCCTACGAACCCATTCTTACTTAGTCCATCAATCTTACTTACTCAAAGGACAAGTGCAGATGTACAACCCTTTGTGGACCTGAATCCGAAGGACATGTATAAGGAACAGTGGCGTCGAGTACAATATCTTGCCGAACGTTTCTGGAATCGCTGGAAGCAAGAGTATCTGCAGACCTTACAACCTAGAAGGAAATGGCAGTGTGACAAGACCAACTTAAATCGTGGTGACATTGTTTTGTTGAAAGAGCCCGAGAGCCACAGAAACAACTGGCCGCTTGGAATGGTGGAAAACGCTATTTGTGGAAAAGATGGTCGTGTTCGAAAAGCGGAAGTTCGCATTACCAAGAATGGCTTGTCAAAGACTTATACAAGACCGGTGACTGAACTTGTTCTGCTTTTGAGTGACAAGGGAAATGATCTAGACACTTCCAGCAGTGACAAAGAATAATGTGCTTTATCGTGTTTAGTGCAACGAAACATACTTTGTTATGATTTGTGAATTAGAATACCTGTTACATTTGCACCATATTGATTTTGTGCTAAATGATTGTAATAGTTGTAGTGATATCTTGTAAGATATCAGGCGGGGAGTGTGCTGCCCCAAGTTAGAACTTTTTCGGAAATATACTTATATGTCATAGGTTTTATCATTTACTTTGTCATACGTTTAGAATACGCTGTTTACATGTGCTCGCTCCTTGTGTATCGCACTTTTATTTGATCCAGCACGGAGTAAGTGTTGTTTTCTTCATGTATTATTGTATAAAATGCTTATATGTGTTTCCGAAAGTATGTGTTAAATAATTATTGTCAGGATTTTTGTCTAAGTCATGTTTTGAGTTAATTCTTTGCATCCGAATTTCCTAGTCATAGGTCTATTTTAGTCTACAATGTTTCTTGGCAAATATTTGTTTACATTAACTTGTTAATTTCTGTTGAAAGTGTATACTTGCAATATTTGGGCTACGTTTATTATTGTTTATATATACCCATACTTTATAGACGCAAATTAAATGATTAAGTGCCATGTTTACATGTGTAAATTGTGATTGTGATTCATGTTGTACTAAGTATCTGTTTTTTATATGTTTTAGTTTTTTACCATGCTCATGCATATGGACATCAATGTTGAATAAACGTCCTATTCCTTGATGACTGGTTATCTTACTGAGTTTGAGTCAGTACAAGCATGTTATACATACACACATAAATTCTACCTTAAACCATGACCCTATAAACGTGTGCATTTTAAAGTCTCGTTTCTTGCAATATCATATTGAATACAGATATTTTCAATCTAAATAAATTAAATAAAGTAATGTCAAAATATTCGACAATAATTACGTACCCTCAGGCTTAAAACTATAGTCAAGACACATGCATTTTACAATGTCGTTTTAAGACTTTTCATGTGGTGTGAAGTACGACTTGAACTTTATGACACTCTCCCCGTCATGATTGATCAAGCTTGCGGTGATTTGAGGTCATTTTTCATTATGACGTCATATCCTGGTTGTACAGAAGTGACTGCAGAAAATTGTACCGTAATACTATTAGGGAAACCTTAACCTACCGGTGCCCGCAAATGGAATAATGATAATAGGAAACAGGGTGAAAACAGTAATGTCTTCCGAAAGAAGTCGGAAAACCTTAAGTAGTATTTTCTTCATTTATCTACTGTACAAAAAATGCAGACATATACATATAGAGTTAGACAAGTAACCGAACAATAGTTGTACCTGTCATAACAAAGTAATTAAAAATTATTTCCTTTAATTATGCTCACAAGATCTTCTAATAGCTTCCTCTTCCTTTTCACAATATCTTTGAATAAAGTTTGCTTAAATATAAGTGGCACACGTAACCTTAAATCAAATGAGCGATCCAGAGATGAGTTTTCAAATTAATAAATAAGCTCCACTATACAAGGTGACGTTATACTTCGTTGTTTTATATTAATTAAGCATTAATTTGAATTATTTTAGCCATCGAAAAAAAATATATGATAAATAAAATCATAGCCTTAAAGTAATCAATAAAAAAGTAACTGAAAGATATCAATAATTGATAAGTTACCCTTAGAAAGAAAAAAAGAAAAATAATATTTCCAATTTGCAAACTTTAGTTTAATACAATATTTAGAATATTCATGTATATCTTATTCAAGCAAATTGATCAAGACGTATTTTCAAGACCAAAAATATATCAGGCATTCATGCATCAGAGAGGATAATGTTTTTTTTACCTTTAGCAGCAACTATTGAACTTGTAAAACTGCAAACTCTAAGGCAGTACAAAAAAAATGTCTCAACTCATTTTCTGAAGGAAACATAAGAAATCTTTCAAACTAAAATATTTCATCACTGATTTGCACTCATATCTAATGAATTGCTCGTTGATAAGCGGTCAAGTTTTGAGGTAATTTTAATTTTTTTTGTTTTTATCTCAAAGGGTTATAACTTAAAGTATGCCATATCTCTCTGCTTAAATGTATCATATGATTTTTTTCTTTGTGCTCGGTCGATATGTTTTTTTTTCTGAGATGTCGATATACCCAAGGATTGATTTTATGTAAGGGCCATATTTGTAAAATATATATTACTGTTTTCAAAATAAAAGAAAAATGTGTTTTGTCTGACCATAATTTTTTTTTTTGGTCAAATAATTATATCTTTTTGCGCCTTACAAATATTAAACATAGTAAATTATATAAAAAATAAATTTGATAAATAATTTTCTGACATTTGTAATAATTAATTCATTTTTAAGGTTGTGATATCGGTTATTATGGCCTATTTTGTTCCTCTTGTGGGGATTGTGAAAACTGCAACATTGAAAAAGGCTGTTGTAAGTATAATTCATGTCAAAGTTTATTAAGCTTTATAGCAAAATGTTCATATTTATTATAAAGATCATTGTTGAAAAAAGATCTCTTTATTCAAAATCCGTCATGAATTTTGATACTAGTATTTAATTATGTAACTAACGAAAAGGGGAAATTGCGCTTGTATTCTTTTTAACATGTAGCTGTCTCCTCCATATCATTTTTAATGGAATAAGAGGCAAAAATGCAATATTTTACATATGTATAGAAAAACACGGTTACAGACTTATTTAGGTCATATTTGTCACGTTGCTAAAATGCTGCACATACCGTTAATTTACAAAATAAAAGTTATCTGTACCTGATTTCCAAATTAATGCAATTTCTAACGTATATTAGATCCATAGCTTTAGGTTCATGACATCTATCTGTTGAGCTGTTGTGCCTAGTACCGTTTAACAATTCAACAAGTTGTAAGGAAATGTCCTTGATTGATTGACTGTATGCTGTTTTACGTCCCATTCAAGAATTTTTTCACTCATACAGAGATGTAACCATAAACTGATGAAGGGCTTCAAATTTTGACCTTTACTCGGCACTCAGGGCCACTGAGCAGTAAAGGATCTTTATCGTGCCAACGCCTGCCGTGACACGGGGCCTTGGTTTTTAAGGTCTCATCCGAAGGACCTGCAACTTTCACTTCAAAGTGCCGAGCGCATGGCGAAGGAACAGTTAATACCCATTTTTTTATCGACTTAGGCCAGTCGCGGCCGAGATTCGAACTCACGACCTCCCGATCACGGAAAAAGCGCTCTACCGACTGAGCTTAAGTAGTTCTCTATGAGTAGAGAAAAAGATTTAATAAGATGTAATGCAGTTCCTGTATATGACCAACTAATCACCAACCCAGAGTCTGAGCCAGAAAGTCAAGGGGCCAGGGAATGTGGTAAAAGGTTGAGTAGATGCACTCAATTGTAATAATGAAAATGAAGTTTTCTTAACACAAATCAAGAAGTTAAGAAGATGATTTTCGAAGACAGCATTGCCTTTATTGGTTTTGGACTTTTTACCCCCTCAGGCCTAAGAGAGACAGGAACCGTGAAATTCCATTTTGTTTCCCTTTACACATAGATACAATATACTTAGGAGTTTGAAGGACAACGCTGAAAATTTTCAAAATATATGATAGTCGCAAGATACAAGACATAACAGAAAACAATAGATTACTTGAAAAACTCATTTGACCAAAATACATGCATTAAAAAATCACAATTGTCTATCAATGAAGTGCATTAAGAGTGTTTTAAGTTAAAAGGTTTTCAGGTAAACGCCACACAAAATTATTTTATCTCTAAATGAGAAATGTCAGATTTACTTTAAGTAAAAAGGTAAACGTGTCTATATATTCTTTATGTCATTATTCAACAGCTTGCAGTCAAAATTGTGTAAACAGTACCTGTGATGCGAATTTGAACTGCAACCTTGATTGTTACCCGGGATACTGGGGAAAAAAGTGTCAGAACCTTTGTCATCATACCAACTGTCTAACTAGTGTCTGCAATAAAACAAACGGAAATTGCCTTTCCTGCAAGCAGGGATTCTATGATGATGAATGTAGCACGTATTGTTCCAACTGTTCTGGGGAAACGTGTAGCAACACGGGCTTCTGTGTTAATGGATGCATTACTGGGTTTTACGGTAACAATTGCGATAGACAATGTGGTAATTGTAACCCAAAAAGTTGTGACAGATACACAGGAAATTGTGATGTCTGTGATATAGGATTTTACAGTGACAAATGTGATATACAATGTACAACAACTTGCTACAATCAGACATGCAGAAAAGGTGATGGGTATTGTTTTGGATGCAAGGAAGGGTTTTTTGGATTTCAATGTAAGAACATTTGTAATGTTAACTGTTTTTCATCAAGTTGTGATCAAGATACTGGCCAATGTAATAGAGGTTGCAAAAATGGATTTTATGGTTCCTTCTGCAACATGTCATGTAGTTCCAATTGTGCACCGACTGGCTGTAATACCAAAAATGGAGCTTGTATCGGAGGATGTCAATCAAACTGGACAGGAATCAAGTGTGATGGTGAGTTTATTTCTCCTGAGTTATATTCTCTTACTGATTTTGTATTTTTTATCATACGATATGCAATGAAACTCAATGTGTAAGCATAGATATGAGAAATCTAAATATGAAAAACATTAGCTATGGTGATTTACTGAAAAAATACGTTTTATTAACCTGAATTTAATTCTCACGTATTTTTAAAAAAAAGATTTTATGGAACAATTATTAGAATACATGAAAATTTTGATTTGATTATTAATACCATATAGCTATATTGCGAAAATATTTTGGTGATTTACTGTAGTATTGTTGGAAGCACGTGCAATTTAATTTTGGATTCATTTTTTTTTAAATACATATTTTTTTAACCTCCTTCTGTTTGAAGACGTAATCAGTCTCTGTCAAGCGAAATGCAGAGACATTCGGCGAACCACAGATAGAGGAAGTACGAATAACCCCGAAAAAAGATTACCCTGAATGTACAAATTACACCCGGAAAACTAGTCCGAAATATCTGACGTTTTCCTGGCTTTTTTTTCACGATTTTTATATTTTATGTGCCAGGAAAACGGCAGAACCGGCGCCATTACGAAAACTGGAAATTCGCCGCCTCCAACTGGAGGCAGCATTCTCGGGTTGATTTTCGATACTTGCGGACCGAATTAAATGCTGAATTCACAACTTATCAATAGAACAATGCCTTTAGTACTCATCAACATCGTTTTTTATGGTTTGTTTAATAAATATATACAGTCCGGTGAAAACATTTTATCAGACGCCCGAGTTTTGTTTTCAATTCGTGTATTTTAAAATCTTGCAAGACCTGTATCGAAATGTAGAGTGATATTTTCTTTTCATCGATATAAGGGAGTACTATAGGCATTGTGCTATTGATAAATTGTAAGTTCGGCATTTAATTCAGTTCGCAAGTATCGAAAATCATCTCCGGTTGGAGACGGCGAAATTTCCAGTTTTTGTAATAGCGCCGGTTCTGACGTTTTCCTGGCACGTAAAATATCAAAATCGTGTAAAAAGCCAGGAAAACGTCAGATATTTCGGACTACCGGAAAACATGTGCACGTGGCTTATGGCCGAAACCACAGGAGGTATTAAAGAAGGAAGAAAAGTAGTGGTTCTGTAATGTACCTGCTGGTAAAATCACACCGTGTAACATGATGCAATACTGGTAAAGAGGAATATCTCAACAAAAAGTACACAAACCACTGTAAGGACAACTTTTTGCATATCAGGTTTGGTTAACTGTGGGTAAAAGGTTCTGCGCATTATAGGGTTATCTGGACATAAATCCGAGTCAAGCAATAAGCAACATGCATCTCCATCTCCTTTGAACGAAGCTGGAAAACGTGAGATGTGAACTGCGCTGTCATCTTAAATTATATCTGTGCACAGGTGGAAAAAAAATTTCGTCCCCCCTTGGGGGGGGGGGGGCAATTGACCATCCTCACCTTGCATCTGCATCTGGTTCGACGATTTTTGAAGAATTAGATTTTCAACGAAATAGAATTTCGTATTTGATTACTGTTTTAGAGTACCCCATTTGGAACACAGAGCAGTCCATGAGGAGTAAAAAAAAATCCGGTCCACAAGCCCTTTTTTCCCGAAATTGTTACATTGCAATAAACTACAATTAAAGCAATAATTATGAAATCGATCACATTGCAGATAATGCATGCGACACAAATCATTCAACTTATTTTGAAAAACTTGTTTCCAATGACTGATACCTTGTATGTCAATGAATTTTAAAAAAAAAAAAAAAAACCTTTTTCCCCTTTTTTCATATTATATTTTTATGGGAAATATTTAAAATCTTTAGAAGCTCGTGATTCAAAAAGAAGATTTTCAGTTACCAAGTGATAGTGGAGTCGGATGACGTGAACATACCAAATGGAGCGGGGGAATTTCCAAAGAGTCCTCAGCATATTGAAGGGGATAGTCAGAGAGATAAAAGAGCTTTGAGACAAGATTTTGTCTCAAATCAATGTAAGGTGTACCAAAAATTCCAAAAAATCTCGGGATCATTGTTGCCGTGAATCTTTGGTAAACTGTTAGTCCCGAGTTTAGCAAGTTTTATCAAAACCCAGGATAATTAAATTTTATTCTGCTAATAACTTTCTAATTTACATTAAATTGAAAATGGTTTTAATCTTTTTAAAAGGAAGGTAGAAAGATATTTTACGCTAGCAATTCTATACAAAATCCTTAATTTTGCACATTTTTACAATCAACTTAAGTTTTTGGTCTTAGTCGTAAGTTCTTTTGTAAAACGGACCGAAGGCTTTTTGACATCGATGACAGCTGCTTTTTATGCCCCCATGATCGAAGATTCGGGGGCAAATAATTTTTGTTCTATCCGTCTGTCCGTCTGTTTGTTGGTCAGCAAAAACTTTAACATTGCCCATAACTTTTGATTGGTTGAAGCTATGGCTTTGTTATTTCACATGTGTATTTCTTTGGTTACCATTATATTTGACTTTTTGACATTGACCTTGGAGTTTGACCCAGTTTGCAAAATCTTACCCAAATTTTACATTGCCCATAACTTTGAAGAGTTGGTGCTAGGGCTTTCATACTTCACATATTTAATCGTTGTGACAAGACCCTCCTTTGAATACCAACAACTCTGACCCTTTGACCTTGACCTAGGAGTTTGACCTACTTTTGAAAACTTTAACCTTAGCCATAACTTTTCAACGGTTTGAGCTATGTCTTTTATACTTCAATTAATTAATCCTTGTGACGAGTCCTTTCTTTGGATACCAACATCTTTGACCTTGACCTTGGCGTTTGCCCTTCTTTTGGAAAAATTTAACCATGGCAATAACTTTTGAACAGTTGGTGCAAGGGCTTTCGTTTTTCACATGTGTATTCCTTGTCACAAGTTCTTCCTTTGGAAACCAACAATTGTAGGCTATTGAACATTATCTTAGAGATTGACCTTCTTTTGAAAAACTTAAACTTTGGCCATGACTTTTGAACGGTTGGTGCTAGGGCTTTTATATTTCACATGTGTATTTCTTTTGCAAAGGCCTTTCCTTTGGCACCATTAATTTTGACAATTTGATCTTGACCTTGATGCTTTACTTACTTTTAGAAAAAAAAATATCTATATCTATTTTTTCTATATTTATCTATATTTCATATCTATTTAATGGTAGCAGCTAGGGTTTTCATATTTCACAGATATATTCCTCTAGACAAGACCTTACCTTGGGTACAAACATGATTTGGATTTGTGGAAGCTTAATCTTCGCTATAAGTTTCCCCAACAGGGGCATCAGTGTTTCACAAACACTTCTTGTTTCAATGCAAATGGAACTCGTAAATTTATTTACATTGTCATTGGTCATTTACAACATTATTTTGCTAAAAAAAACATTCTGATTGTACACAGAAGTATAAAAGATGCTTGAGTTTCTGAATGACAATATGTAGCTTTTGGAGACCAGATCTTCCAACAATCTGTCGAAATTCCCTTCGATACCAATTGCAAACGGTTATTAGCAGACCTGTTTTGTACTCATATGAAACAGAATTTATTCGAAATCTTATACATGAGAAGAAGAAAACACTTGCCGTGGCCTTCAACTCAACAATTAGATATATCGACGACGTATTATCAATTAATAATAGTAACTTCCATTCATGTGTTGACTCAATATATTCCAGTGAGCTTAAAATAAAAGATACCACAGAGTCTGACGCATCTGTTTCATATATGGATATTTACCTGAAAAAAAAAATCGTTAATGGTAACCTTACAACCAAGCTTTGTAATAAACATGATGACTTCAACTTTTCAATCGTCAACTTCCCTTACTTATGTAGCAATAAACCCTTTTTACCTGCATATGAGGTTTATGTCTCTCAGATGATTCCATAAGCAAGTGCATGCTTTACGTACGAACATTTCTTAAACGAGGCAAGGTATTGACAGACAAATTGATTAAACAAGAATATCAAACGTCTCGTTTAAAGTCATCATTTTGCAAGTTCTATGGTCGGTACAATGACCTTGTCAGGAAATAATATCATTATGTCAAATGCTGACTGACTTTTTCACAGAGTCGCATGACTTTGTTTAACTACGTCATAGTCTCGTTTATATGAGTGCAAAACGTGTAAAGCATCAGTTCTTGTATAATATTTTGATAATTTTTTTACTTTAATTACCATCTTATATAAAAAAAAAAATTAAAAAGTTTTAACATTCTTGTAAATATTAACAAATTATGAAAAAAGATTGATCCACTCCTCTGTTTCCCTAAACTGCGCATCCAAAAAGTCGGTGACGTCATAAACGATGTTAGTACAGCAAGATCATAATCGGTTAACACAGGCCTAGGGGCGGTATTATTATGTAAAAACAGGTCATAATCAGTATATGATGAAATATTTTGAGAAACGGAGAACACAAAAATTAGTTTTGCATGACTGATGACGGAAATCTTATGTAAGTATATCTTATTTCGCTTATTCAGCTTACGTGTGACGTCATAGTTGGTTTTTCCCGTACTCAAGAAATGTAACATTGCACGTTTTTGTCATGCTTATGTCCTTTTTAACGATGACCTGTGAAATAATGAGGTCAGCTTCATCATTCGAAATTTTTACAGTTAATCAATAATTTGAAGGATTTGCATTTCAACGTAAATTAAAAAATATTGAATGATAGAATTTTTTGTAAATTACGTTTTTTATTGTTTATGTTGTCTTAAAAAGTGCGTAATTTTCCCTATCCTGATGCAGTGTGATAGAAAAAACTTGCGTTTTTCGAATTTTAAATCCTAGTTATACTCTGAAATATTTTAAAAGATACATGTACACTTTGATTTTTTTATATGTGCTTTAAAAATCCCATTGTGGACAGAGTAATGAGCCCGGAAACATGGAGAATAAAAACTCCACTTAGATACTGTAGGGTATAGTATTTGTCAATCAATATCCCTAAAATAAGGTAAGAAATCTAATAATATAACTTCTTTAAGATATGTGGGACATACTTAATTAGAAATATACAAAATATGAAAAAATTGAATAACAAGTATTTTTTCAGCCCAAGGTCCTTCTCTTCCTTAAATGGACTTTTGAGCTTGAATAATGTTCCTTTTCTCTATAGTTCATCATCAAAATCGTTTGTGGTGTGTCTTAGACTTCATTGACGTTGGACGAGTGTGACATCTTATTATATAAACTGTGATATAAACTGTGTAAAATTGTAATCATTTTTAAAAAAAAGATAATTGTTAGGCATACGTGTATTTGTTTGATACGTCTTGATTAATCTAAAAGTATATCTTGAATGTAGATCATAATGTGTCATTGAAAACGTGTCACAAGGTCTGTTCTCAAAATCAGAAAGAGGATCTTGTGATCCTAGGTTTACAAGGTGCTAATATCCCCGGAACCTTCGGATGCTTAGTGTATTGTGCACCTTTTTTGACGTTTGCAAAGCATCGTACTCTTCTCTTTTTTGATACTGAATACAGATTTTTTTTTAAGTTTGTTTTTACGTATTGTATATTTTGTATATTTAGCATGGATATCAATAATAAAACATGGATGATATACATGTACGTGAATATATCTGCTGCCAGGTATGAAAGCTATGTATTCTTCAGTACGTAAAGAAACTCTTAAGCTGAATTCTCTTTTTCAAGGAAATACTTGAAATTTCAAAATATCTTCCATGTTCAATGTCGATACGTTTTACATCATTCACATAAAAATGAATGCAGTTGGGTACATTCTGATTTGCTTATAAATATATGATTATATGTGTTTCCTTCTTTACATGAATACTCAGGAATGCGATGCATTTGCATTACGAATGTCATTTATTATAACTTTGGGAGGGAACGTTTTGGGAAAACTTGTAACAATTAACTTCAATGCTTGTTTGCTATATTTCTCATTTTCAGTATATCTACAAAAACATAAAACCAATAACTGACATAAAAAAATAAAAAAAAAAAGGTCTCTTGAATACTGATTCTATGTATCGGAAAACTGTATCGAATATAGATACCTGTAGAACGCTTTTTTGTTTTGTGTTTTTTTGTTTTTGTTTTTGTAAAAGCTTTGGCAATGCAGTGCCAAACACAAGCTTTGTTCACTCCAAATTAGTTATTAGGTAGTGTTTTGGTTACAAGCTTTCAGAGTCAAAATTTATTTTAATGTTGACTGTAATTGTTTTCACGAAATGTTTTGTTTGATCTCCTTTTAACAGAATGTGACTCAGAACATTACGGGTTTGATTGTTCCAAGGAATGTACGTCTTCATGCAAGTCAGGGTGCTATAGCGACACTGGCATGTGTAAAGGTGCTTGTGAAATTGGTAAATATGGAGCCTTATGCAATAAAGCATGTCACATAAACTGCAGAAATGGATGCAACAGAAACAATGGTAGTTGCAAAAATTGTATTGATGGAAAATTTGGAGTCACTTGTCAAAAAAGATGTGGAGCAGGGTGCAATTCCAACTGTGCTCAAAATGATGGAAAATGTACGTGCAAAACAGGCTGGCAAGAGGACTTTTGTGATGGTAAAACACGAAAAAGACATCAATTGATTTACGTTCTGATCATCATTTTAAAGATCATGCTAATATATATATATATATATATATATATATATATATATATATATATATATATATATATATATATATATATATATATATATAATTTTACCCAATACCTTTGTCTTTTCATCATTTATTTTTCAGAAGTGTTTTAAATCTGAACAACATTTATCTTTGATAATTTACTAAGGAAATTGATATCTAGAGAATAAAATTTCTGAAATTGTATTACTCTGTGTCATTTTCCTGTTGAAATAGAATGTAGTCCCTTCTTCTACGGTGAAATGTGTGAACATAAATGTAGCAAGAACTGCCTTAACGGTTCCTGTTTTTCAAACAATGGATCATGCACCATGGGATGCCTTCAGGATTTTATTGATGAAAAATGTACCGGTAAGAAGAGGATTTGGTAAAAAATTGTGTCGAATTTAAATAGATATAAAATTCATATTTGATAGGAGAAATGCAACTTTTTTGTAATTGTGAATGTATAATAATTGGATTTTACTTATGTACCAGTACTGTAGGTTTTATTTTGTTGTCTAGTGTTAAAATAAATAAATAAATAAATAACTGTAGAAATATCGGACGATGAAGCTTACCTCAGTCTTGTACATGACTTCGTTAGAAACGACGTAATCGTGATAAAAACGCTAACTGTTTATATTTTCCGAGTACGAAAAAAACAACTATGACGTCACACAAAAGCATTTGCGAGCGATATAAAATAAAATTCTGCTCACATCTAACCAAAAATTATGATTGTGCTTCCTCTTTCTTTTAATGCCTAAAAATAGGCTGACAATAAAATGTTTCGTTTAATGAAGTTGACCGTGTAATCAAGTGTGCTTGATCTTGCGGCACTAACAGATTACGTATGACGTCACTGACTTGTTAGACGTGCAGTGTAGGGAAATAGAGGATTGGATTAATCTTTGTCAGAATTTGTAAATTCTGATATAAATTTCAAAACTTTGAAACATTTTTTTATTTATGATGATAAAGCGCAACAATTTAACAACTACTGGTGATTTTAATAATTTTTTGCATCTTTATTAAAAGGGATTGTGCCGTAGTCAATTGTGTCATGTGACATGTGTCCGGCATCCCCTTAGATACTGTACATGTCTTGCTTGTTATGAATTTCATCTTCGATTTTTTTTAAAAATTGAATTAACGTATATAAAGTATCATTTGAAAGGCAGTTTTGTTTAATTAGTTCTAACAGATTATTTTATTTAAAACATTCTCCTGAGTAATTCAGTAAAATGATGATCACTTATAGGAACCTGTAAAAAAAAAAAAAGAAGTGTTTAAAAATCCTTTAAAAATTTATTCATCCTTATGAACAAAAATCAAAAATTTGCTGCGTATTGTTTCCATGCTTCTTTTTTTTCTATTAAAGTAAGTCTGCAATCATCGAAGACCAAACCAAACATCAATTTGACAACGTTTGCTCTGTATGTTGTGATCGCAGTTCTCTTCATAAGTATTTCTCTCAACGTATTTTTCATTATTCGGTGAGTTTCTTTTAATTTTTCGCAATTTGATAGTTTATATATTATGTAATAAAGGTAATGTATAACGCACGTTACTCATTTTATTTATTTATTTATTTTTTTGGAATACACCATTGTAGTTATGACACGACATGCATCTTTCCAAAAAAAAAAAAAAAAATAATAAAAAAAAAAATAAAAAAATAAATAACAATTCAATGCTCGTCTCAATATTTGTTACTCACTGTCTTGTCTGCAAAAGTGAATTATATTTCAAATCCTTGTATTATCCTTCGGGTAAGGTACAAATAATGAGAAAATCATTTGCATCAGCAATACTATATGTGAGCGTGAATTTTCAGTTTTGGTTTGAAGTTACACTTGCACGGCGTTCAATGTTTGTGTCCCCAAATATAAATCATCACTTAATTTTTGTCCTCCCCATCCCTGTTTTGAGTATTATATCGCAAAGCTTTTTCTTAAATTTAATAAGGAAAATATACGAGGAATTTAAATATAAATATATAGTTTTGAGGTACAATATTTTTAGCTTTTATAGACATGAAAGAGAAGCCATCCATTTACTACAATTCTCTGTCCATTTCATTGTAACAGGAATGTCAGGCAAAGACATCACAAAAACAAAGACTCGGAGAAGGTTAATAGCAAAAGTGATACAGAAGGATATGCAAACACAACTGCATATGACAAAGTGGAAGATAATGCTGGCTATCAAGAACTTGGGGAATTAAGTCAACATTCTCATTATGATCAACTCAAGTGAATGATGCTTAATTTTTAGCAATTTTGAACCGAAGTCTAGGTAACTGTACCCTTTTTTATAAAATAAAAAAAATATGGTAAGCAAGATTGATGAAAAGAATGCTTTATTTGACTTGCGTTGTTTTTGTTATTGAAATTGTCATGTCAATGTCTTTACTGTTTCTTTTTATGATGTGTTTAACAATGTAAAAAGATAGGGAGATAACGTACAGTAATCGATCTCAAAAAAATCTATAAACAATACAAATCTGTCAAGAGGGCATTAAACACGGACCCTGGAAATTTCAGAGGTGGGATCAGGTGCCTAGGATGTGTAATCATCCCCTGTTGAACGGTCGCATCCGCTGTGAGCCGCATGATTTGATCACAGTTACACTGCATAGTCAAATATAGTATAAAAAGGCATAACATTTAGTATGAAACACATCAGCCAAAATACGACACAATGTTTAGTTTGTTTGTTTGTTTGTATGTTGTTTAACGTCCCTAATGTTTAGTTATATTTGCTAACAAAGTCATTATAACAACCATAGAATTTTCGAAATGCTAAAATGTTAAAATCCTTGTAACATCATCTTATCTGTCAGTAGCTTGCCTCTTTAAAAATGATCGTACTCAGAAAAAAGCTCTTGAGTAGCGAATAAATTGGGAGACATAGAGACCATAAGCAGGTGATAGTGGAATATATCTACATAAAAAAGGAAAGTTGACGATAGAAAAAAATGAAGTTATCTCGTTTGTCATACAATTTACTTGTCAGTTGGCCATTATCGTATATCGTGAGTAAAACATCCAAATATGAATCAAACATGGCAAACTCTGTGGTGTCCTTTATTTCAAATTCACTTCAGATTTTGAATGAAAATAACTATTGTTAATTGATAAAACATCGTCAATATAAATTGAAGGCCACAGCAAGTGAATTCATATTCTCATGTATTTTTTTAAAAAGAATATTGCTTCATAGGCATATAGAAACAGGCCAGTTTATAAAGTAGCACAATTCCAACAGCTTTTGGAAGTCTTTAGACCTGATCTCCGAAGACAACATAGATGTTGTCAATGAGGAAACTCCAGCATCCTTTATCAACTTCAGAGTTCTTGTGTGTGCAATCTGAGTGATTTTTAATGAAATACTTTTGCTAATGACCAATCGCAAGTCTCCTCATGGCAAGAATATTACCGACGTCGTTATGACGTTACTTTCATTTTCATATGATCTGCATATATGTTTAAACTTTCACTTCTTTTTAATAAACATTATTTATATTTTGCCATAAACCGTTTTGTTTTGTGTTGTCACATTATTTCAAGTTCATTTTTTATTGCGTAAATCTACTAAATCATTAGATTTAAAATGAGTGTCAAAGAAAAAAAAAATAACAACGTTGCAACATTCTTGATGTGCGTTGATAGACGGGACCCAGCGTTGTGTTTATTTTATTACTATATAAATTATTGCATAAATCTGATTAAATTTTAAAGCAGAAATCAAAATAGATAGAGGTATAAGTATGTTCATTCTGATGAAAACATTTGAATGTATAGCAATTGTGACATTACGTTTGGATAAACACACGTTGATCTGATGATTGTTATTTGAAGAGAACCTGAAACAAGAAAAGAAAGAAAACAATTTGTACATGTTTCGCTTACAAAGTTCGTTTAAAAACTTGCGTCCCTCTGAATCGGCGCAAATACATTAAGAATACGGAAAACATTGGCAAGTTGTAAAATGAAATATTAAGATAACAAACAGTACTCAATCTCACAAGTCAATTCAAACAAAAGAAATCAAGAGCAGATTTAAATATATATCTTAAAACAATTTCCCTTCCTAACCAGTACTCTAATCGCTGCAAAAACAAAAAAAAAAAAAAAAAAAAATTTCTTAAGTTCTAAACATGATTAAAATTTGTGATTTACTTGAACCATAATAGTTTAAAAACGAAGACTGTTCTTGTTATTCTTTATCTATAATTTCAGAGAAGAAAACGACTCCTTATGCTCTTCACAGCGAACATGAGCCTCATCACTTTTTGTCATTGTGTAAGCATCTTTTGGCATGATATAAGAATACAAAAGTCACTTTATAGATACAAGTATATTCAAAATAAAGAAAATTCGTAAACTAAGGAAACATATGTGTTTTCTCCTACCCTCTCCCTCTCCCCTTAGAAATATATTTTCAGGTTTGGACTAATTTTTTCTCTTACATTTGTTTCGCTTGTCAAAATATTCCCGAGTCTGATAAATGAACACCTTTTTCTTTCACAAAAAAATCCTGAATCCGTCCATATTAATACTTATAAAGTGCAGAAATTTAAATTAATTGCAATCTACCAAACATATCATACCATTATGACGACCAGATATTCCGGCAGCCTCTTTTAAGCTTAAATTTAGAAATTACAATGCATGTAATTTACACTGTATTCCTAAAATACATATCAAAAATATTTGCAGAATAAGTATATGGATTTTTTTTTATCTGTTGCATGGTTCTAGTCTCCTGATTACCCTCGACAAACCAAGAAACAGTCTTGTTTACGTATATAAAGAATAAAATTTGTGCTTACATTAAACACTTAGCAAAGAAAAAATGAAGATTATGATTTCTTTTCTTTATCGCTTATTACCGTCTTCCTTGGAAGACGGTATACAGAGTTGAAGTATTTTACAGTCTTCGGACTATATATTTCCTCT